AGTATGTAGAAACTGTACAAGGCACTCTTGAAGAAGAGGTGGCAGGTTTTAGGTTTTGTTTCGGCGATGGTAGGTGATGAGGTTGGGGGCTAGAATATTTGAAGGGATAAGAGATTGAGATTGTTGCAAAGAAGCAGGGGAATGAGAAGGCAGAGAAAGAGAATTACCTGAATTCGTGGAATATGCATGATTCTGGCCGGAGGAGGTGGACTCACAAGTTTGGCCACTGGTACATACGTCTTGAACTTGTACAGGAGATGTAAGTGCTGAAATATTAGGAGAAGGAGTTTGAATTTGAGATTGGGTAGGAGTGTCGGTAGTAATTTCCCACGTGAGATTAGAAACCTTATCTTTTATACGAGAAAATATTGTTTGAAAGAGAAAAATATTTTCATGAATTTTACATCTCGTGAGATATAAATTTTTGAATGAACGGGATCAAAACATTGGTGTGCATAATGAACCTGCGAAAAACCCAAATAGACACATGGAGTTGACCTAGGCTCGAGTTTATGTGTGGTGTAAGGCTTAAGCCATGGGTAGCATAGACAACCAAAGGTTCTAATTGAGTCGTACTTAGGTGCGACACCAAATAATTTTTCAAATGGTAATTTATGTTTTAGAAGCGGTGTGGGTAGTCGATTGATTAAATAGGTTGCGTGTTGGCAGGCAAACGACCAAAAAATTGAAGGTAAGGATGCCTCATGTAAGAGTGCTTTGGCAGTTTCAACAATGTGCCTATGACGACGCTCGGCTATGGCCACTCTTTGCGGTGTATAAGGAGGTGATACAAGGTGTTCAATTCCATTTTTTTGGAGATACGGGTCAAGACCTTTGTATTCACCTCCTCCATCAGTATAAAGAGAAACAATTTTTTTTTGAAAAAGTTTTCGATTAAGGCATGAAATTTGGGAAAAATGTCGCGAACCTCATGTTTGTTTTTAATCGTGTACAACCAAATATATTTGGTGTACTGATCAATGAAAACACAGTAATATTGGTTTTTATCAATAGAAAGAACAGGTGATGGACCCCACAAATCAGTAAAAATTGTTTGTAGTGAAGAAGTACTGTTTAGAGACAAATAACTGAATGGAAATCGTTGAACTTTATTTGAACAACAAGAATTACATAAAGTAAACTTGTCTGATGATGAAACTGGCAGAGAAAATTTATTCAAAACAAAGTTCAGAATTCTTGAATGGGGATGACCAAGACGATGATGCCAAACACGACGAGGAACTGTTGTAATAGTGACTTGAACAGTAGGCTTGTTAACAGTGAAGTTCGGCCATTCGTAGAGTCCATTCCTATTCCGGCCGGATACCAGCGGAGAACTCCGCGTTTTCAAGTCCTTCACAAAGAAAGAAAAAGGGAAAAATTCTATCGAAGTTAAATTATCTTGACAAAATTTTGACACAAACAATATTTTGTTTTATAGCAGGTGCACACAAAGTGTTAGTTAGTTTAAAAGCTTTACTTGATGCAATTAATTCAGTAGAACCATGATGAGTAATTGGAGTTTTTTTACCATCTCCCATAGCCATGCCTTCCGAACCATTATATTCTTCAAGATTGGTAGGCTCTATGGTGACATGATGAGTAGCACCAGAGTCGAGAATCCATTGGTTGGCTGCTGCTTGTGTACCTGATAGAAAATTTGCCTTTGCCTCTAAATGATTATGAGACTGTGACCTGCAAACATTTGCAGTGTGACCTTGTCAGTTGCATAACTGACTGCGAACAGGGGTATTGGTGGAACTGTTGTTTGTGTAACGCCCTTGAGCAGGAGCATTACCACGATTGTTGTAACGCCATTGTGAGTTGTTGTTGGGTCGACGAATAGTGCGGTTGCTGGAATTGGTGGATTTGTTGCGAGTTACCAAAGCAGCAGTAATCGAAGTGGTTTCCTTCTTCAATTCCTCATGATCAATTAGTTTGGCATACAACTCCTCGTAAGATACAATGGAATCTCTTGCTCGGATTGCAGCGGAAATCTCACGAAAATCTGGCCCTAGACCACTCAGAATTTTCACAATCAACTCATCGTTGGAGATTGAAGCACCGGCAGTGGCAAGCTCGTTGCAGAGAGAGCGCACTTCATGAAGATAATCGGCGACTGGACGAGAGTCCTTGGATAGTCGTGCGAGCTGATCGCGAAGGCTAAAGACTCGCGTTTGGGACTTATTGGCATAAGCCATGTGTAGGGAGTCCCAGGCAAGTTTAGCAGTAGAGGCAGCGGCCACAGTTGTGGCTATCGTCGGATCGACAGAAGCCATTATGGCATTCTGGATCAACTGATCTTGACGGAACCAAATGCTGTAGTTTGGATTCTCCACTTGTCTATCATTTTGTGTGATAGTTGTCGGAGGAGTGGGAGAGGAACCGTCAAGATGACCGAACAGATTGTGCCCACGCATGAGCATGGAAACCTGGGCTTTCCATGTCGCAAAGTTATGGCTGCCAACAAGCTTTATCGGCAGCTGCGACACGGGATTGAACTGAACAATAACACTAGAGTTGCTGCAAGTGGAGTCAGCATTTGTTACATTAGGGGCCATTTCAAGTGTGAGCCTGTGGTGGTAGTCAGAGGATCGAAAAAAAACTCGTGAGAGTCAAGGAGACTGCTCAGATACCATATAAGAGCAAGATGAACAAAAAGATGATTTTATTAAATGATGATGAGCTGATTATATACGCAAACAAATTACAGAGTCCTTGTGAGAAGGCTCCTTCTACAGTGATAACAAACCAGAAAACAAGGAGAATAAAATAACAAACTCCTCAACTGGTGGAAACAAAATAACAACTTATGCAGTAGAACAAAGTAGATACAGTAAATACAATAATGTTACAAAACAGTAACAGTAACTTCTAATATTTATCAGTGTGCTTTTCCACAATTATGCAGGCATTGTACTTCCCCTTATCCTCGTTCTGTAATTGCAATCAACCCTATTTGTATTATTCACTTTCTGCTGTTTTGACTAGTTCTTACTTTTTATAATCTATCAATCTGTATTACTGTAAATTAGGTTTGTTAAGCAACTCAATGAGTTTAAGCATTTGCAGGACCTGCTTGGAATTGGAGAATATCGACCTGGTGTGAGCCAGAGTACTCACCGGTAGACTATCAAATAGTTGTATTTCATAAGATACTCTATATCGAGTCATTTGCAGTTCCATTAATCACCCATTATAACAAGTATCCTCGGAACAAAGCTTGAGGTTGGGTTGTAAAAGCCATGCTGAAATGGGTACAGAAAGAAGTTCTATGTACTGCAGTACACCCCTAGTGTGCTTGTAACATCTAAAGCCAATCCCATACTTGTAATATATTTTTACTTTATTCTCTTCTTGTCATGTCACCAACTTCCAATCTTGTTGACTGCGATTATACACCCGGCAGCGGCAGGGGTTATAAATTTTATTGCCTCAGTTTTCCAAGTTTGATACCATAAATTAATAATTTGATAGTTAGCTTGCCTTCATCATCTGCGAGCATATGAGCTTTGCGTTACCTTCTTCACCTTATGACCCAAAATGTCACTTTTGTTTAGTGACAATGTGAAAATGGGCAAAGGGGCTATGGCACTGCACTATAATTTTCTGTTACTTATGGAAAAGACTACTTGGGTACGTACATGCTAATACAGTTTGTAGTAGTTTTTATTATACAATCAGACCTCTCTATAACAACATCGCTATATAACAACCACTCACTATAAAAGCCAAGTTTCATTTGGAACCAATTTTCATACTATGTTATAATATATGTTCTCTATAACACTTTGATATAATGACCAAAAATATTTGGAACAAACAATGCTATTATAGAGAGGTTTGTCAGTACTGCTATATTATCTTGAGTACCAAAAAAGAAAGAAGAGTTCTACAGTGATTTGTTGAAACTCACCTTGGAATTTCACTTTTCATTTGACAGGTTACATTTTTTATGCGTTCTTGATTAGATTAAAGAATGGGGAAGAGTTTAACATAATTTATGAGCAATCAGTGTACAGAATATTTCAATCCAAAGATGAAACTCTATTGCTCCAATTTGGATTGATTTACCTTTTTAAAAAACATTTACCTGGTGTGAGGCTTCATTGGTTTCACATGTAGCCTCTCACAAAAGATCAATCGATGTATTAACCTTTTCCATGATTTACCTAATAGGTTGAAGATCCGAGTTCAATCATCTAAGAATTCAATTTTGTTAAATGATATTGGCAGCCATTTGTTTATAGTCACCCTCTCTTATTGTTCCACTAGGTGAAGTTTAGCCCGTTCTTAGCACTTGCCCAAGTGCATGCAATAAACTAGAATTATTTTTACATAAAAGAAACTATAGATTTAAACATATTAAGTTGCAATTCATCACGGTATCAAGGTAGCTGCTCTTTCTTTTTAGTCCAGTTTTTTGCTATTTAAAATTTTTAACATTTATTTTTTTGATAATCACACAACTTAAGTTCGACTTTGACGTACCTTCGGTTGTGAATTTCAGACAAATGAGCTACTTCAGTTATTCTATGTTGGATAGCGGTTAAACTTGAGTCCGTAACTAAAATGATGCTAAAAACATTATCTATGTCGAAAATGAGCGCATAAAAAAAGTTACATGAATACGGAATACCAATAGTGCATAAAATTTATGTAAAAATAGCACGGGCTAATCAGTTTTCGGACTGGTAACTGAAAAATAGCCAGCGTTTGCAAAGTCATTGAAAAATAGCCACTACTTTGCTGCAACACAAAAAGTTCCAGCATAATATACTAGAGATTGGTGCACCTGTGTATGAACTTCCAGCATATTATGTTGGAACTCCAACACGCGGAAAGTTCCAGCATAATATACTGGAGATTAGAGCACATGTGTATGAATTTCCAGCATATTATGTTGGATCGGTATATTATACTGGAACTCTAACTCTAGTATATTATGCTGGAAGTCCAGTATATTATATTATGCTGAAATATTTTCCGGATTAAGAACAATATTTCATTCAGATTTATCTTTACATGAAAAGTGATTAAATTTCGATTACTTTTGAAATTGTGCTATTTTTCAATTACCACTTGTAAATCAGGCTATTTTTGAATTTCTCCGCGTGAATATAAAATGATTTTTCCAAGAATGGTTACGTCCAACTGTTGTTTAATAGTAAGATCCTACATATTCATTCTAAATTTCAATACTTTCGTTATATTATATAGGTTGGAGTTCGCCTAAAATTTAATAAAGCAAATTGAAAATTTCGCCCATAAAAATGTACCAATAAACCTAATAGAAAGCCAAATTGAATTTAAGATAGTTCTTTTTATCATTATCTAACTGTCACAGTGGCATGAACATAATACAAGAATAATCTGGAATATATTCGTGTTTAACCAAAAACTGTGTATTTCGGTCAAAGCCTATTTTTAGAAGAACTCGGGTTACTGATAACCAAGAAATTTCGTACTTTCTCAATTATACGAAAAGAAAAGACAAAAATAAGTAAAGAAATAATTGATTGCAAAGTCAAGATAGCAGAAAAGTAAAGTGAATATATTCCAATATAGTCTCAGATGATCCTTACAAATGAAATTCTCTTCCCTTTTATAGGGGCTTACAAATATAACGTTTCCTCCCTTTTATGGCCGGATCATTATGATATTAACGACACTAATGATCCGTTATAATTGACAATCGTAATTGTTTGTAGAGATTTTGTAACGGTTCTAATTCTTTTTCCTCATTAGTTAGAGTTTCGTGAATATTCCCCTTCTTACTGTCTTGATTCAGTCAATCCATATTTACTGAATGATTTAGACTCGAGCAATTGCATCCCTTCTTCCCGTGAGTGATTTGCTCGTGCCTCTTGTATCTCGTGCATCTTCTAATGCAGTACTCGAGCTGTCACCTTCTTAGTGATCCACGTATCATGCCTTGTCAGCCACACATAATTCCACGTGTCATATTTATTTTCTACTAATACAGATAGTCCCCCTACTTGCCGAATATTTTGAAATTGAATATTTGGAAAGTGTATGTATTTATGGAGGGAATTTTTGCCGCCGTTTCCCATGTATCATTATGTCTTCCTCAGAACCAACACATCGTATGACACTTCCATTTAATGCATGTGCCACGTGGCCTTCGCCGATTGGGTCTACGACTCTTCAGCGATTTTTAAGGCTTTCTTGTGACTACTTCATTATGACGTTTCCATCATGACTCACTTTACATAACGGTTGCTCCTTCTTATAAATACCCCATGTGCCTTTAGTTTCACGAAAACCTTCAATCTTTAGTATCCTTCTTCTCTAATTATTCTTATTCTTCAGCACACGTTACTTTCTTGCATCCATGTCTTCACCAAACCCCAATCCTCGCAGAACAATCATTGTAGATGAACTTCCTCCTTCAACTACCCCTGTTAGGAGTAGAAGAGGCGGTAGGTTATGTAGCTTAGGGTCTTTATCTATCAGTGATTCTACTTCTCAACCCAACATTATTACCCCTTCTTCATCCAGGACTAGGGCTTTTTCCACCCATAGATCTTCTACTAAAAATAGGGAATCAGGTGAGCCCCTTCGAGAACCAACAGTTGGTGAAATTATCCCTGCGGAATTTTCTTTCTCTACTGATCGTGAATCAATTAGAAATTAAGTTACTTCTATGGCTTCCCGTGATCGTACTGATGTCTATCCTTCTCAGATTACTGATGGTTTGATTTCTCTTGTGCGAAGAGAATGCTACAGGAAACCTAATTTTCTAATTTTAATTCCTGGTCCAAATAAAAGGATAACTTCGTACCTGGCTGATTACTCTTTCGTTTACACATATCCTTTCACTTTAGGTTTCAAACTACCTATTGACCCAGTTATCATAGAAGTTTGTCGCTTATTCAACATTTGCTTAGGATAGATTGGTCTTATTGTATGGAGAGTTATTGCATGTTTACGATATCTATCTAATTTGTCCTCTTTACCCTTCACCTCTCAATACTTGCTTCATCTGTATTCTCCTAAGTTGTTCCGCTCAGGGGTTTTCACTCTCACTGCCAGGAGCAAAAGAGTTTTGGTTAGCCCTGAAGATGATAAGGATCGTGGCTGGTATTTCCGTTTCGTTGCTGCTCCCACAAGTGGTTTAGTGGGTGAAGAGAGCATGCTTTATCTGGAGAAATGGAATTTTGCATGTAAGTTTTTTTTTTTTTTTTTATATTTTTCTTCTTTTACGAGGGAGGAAAAAAACTGACAATCTCAAGGATTTTTTCTCTTTTTAGCAACCATGGAAGTTTTTGATGAAATTCCAAACATCCGTGCTTGGGTAGAGAAGCTTTTATCGGTTGCTCTTATGGAAAGAAGATCCTGGAAATACATTTCTCATAGGTTTGGCTAGAAAGATAAAACTCGTGGTATACTTTCCTTTAGTTTTCTTCCTTTCTTTCGTATTTACTTGGGAATTTCTTACTTTCTCCTTTGTTAGGTTTTCGCCTTCGAGGTGTCAGTGCTGCATCTATTACTTCATCAAGGTTTTTTTATCTCTTGCTCAAGAAATGATTTTGAATTCTTTATCGAAGAGGAAAGCTGATAGAGCTCATGGCTCTGAAGATGAAAAGGAACGGGAAGAAGGTTCCTTAGTGCGCAGGCCTCGGGCTAGGAGGCGCGTTATTTCGGATGATGAAGCCACCCCTCCTCCGAGTTCAGTTCCTATGAATGAGCCTGAAAGTGTCATTTTAACGAGCTCTGATGAAGAGATAAATGTTGCACCTCGTGACTCTACTGATCAACTGTTTTCCAGTGGGTGTGATAATGAAGATTTTGACCTTGTTTCTGATGAAGCACCCCTCACCTCCTTTCCAGTGTCTGCTCCTATTGGTTCTCAAATTCTTGCTCATGTCGTTGCTGCTACTACTCCTCCCGTGGCTATTTTCACTTCCTCAACTGTCCCTACTGCTACCACTTCACGTGTTGAAGTTGGTTCTTCAAGTAGCAATAGGATGATGAAAAAAGTTACCATTGAAGTCCCCGAGGATGGTAATCATTTGAAAAAGTCTGGCCAAGCCGATGTATAGCTAAAACCTTTAATTGGCCCAGTTGAGAAGTCTAAGTTGGAAAGCCACAGTTCTTTAACATGGATGAATGATATTGCTCATGCATCTTTGAAGGTATAAGCCTTAGCTTTTTTTCCTTTTACTTCCCTCGTGATTTTTATCTTTGTTTGATAATCACTTCTTTCCTTTCTTGTGAAGATCAATCTGATAGGCACGAAGCTTATGAAGAGAATTGTCAATAATGAGAAGCTAGTCAATGATTAGGCAGATAACTGGAGGGAACAGTACGAGAGTCTTCAGTTGGAAAAAAAAGTTTTGGATGAGGAGAAATGTGCTTTGGAACATCAAATACAAGTGATGGCTTCAGAATTGGCAATTGAAAAAGCCTCT